TTTTCATTTGGTAGTATAAATCAAAACGTATATAAGGGTAAAGTTAATATTCATAAATATAACACCGTCAAGAGGGGTTTAAAATAAACTATTAGTTATTTAATAAGATTTTTATAGTGTTGGAATCTTACACAGAGTCATTGTTAATTTTCATTGTTGAGCAAATGGTACAATTATTTTAAAGAGTGTCACAGTCAGTATCTTTTGGGGGAAATAAATTATTATCAGAGAAGGGAGCAGGTAGCTGGTTCGATTGATACGGAAGTGTTGTTGGAGGTTGTGCCAGTTTGAACATAGATGAACCACCAAAGTACCAAATTAGCTATAAAATAATAAAGCAACATTCTGATAAACATTACTACGATTGAATACAATATTGTTCAATCAGTTGGACTGCGAGACGACCTTCGTTTTTAATCGTTGGCCAACGAAAGGATTTGCTTGGTACAGGTCACCTCAACCATTAGATTAAATACCACTCTTCCATTGATACTTTCGAGATCGGTGTGAAACCGCACCATACCTCCCCTTTGATAAATCCATTCAACAGTTTCAATAAATTTCCAACTGATTGTGTATCTCTAGGTCATTTTTACTTGAAAGAACACAACAACGGCTGTAATCTGAAAGAAGTGTATTATTAAATTCTGTGCAATAAACTCCAATTGTTACTCACTTTTTTTCTCAATAACCTTGGTATTCTAGTATATGAAATAGTATTTAATTGATAAACAAAAGGAAATTCAGTAAATCATAAGCCACTACAAAAGATTCACCTTTTAAGTGCAACACTAGTCACTAGTGTAGTAGTGAGCAAGTAAATTCAGTGTAGAATTAAGACTGGTAAATTGATCTCATTAAAGGTATTACTTTATTGGAAGAACTACAAACAGTACCAGGGGCGTCCCCTAAGGACCTTTGGGGAATATTTATATTTTGCAGGGTCCACTCATATTTTTCAATAACATCAAGCTTCCACTGCCAAAAAGCTCTGTCTGGTATTTTTATTTTCTAGAGTTCTTCCAACCTAGGGGCAACCAACATTTGTAAAGAATTCATTAAAGAGCATTGCAAGGAGTAAATATATTTAAATATAATATTTAAATATATGAGAGTCAAAGTCTGAGTTCCTTTTCTTTTTTTTTCTTTACAAATAAATGGTTCATTCAACCTTGCTTTTTACGCTACTACGCTACTTTTTTTGAGTCTCCAGATCTCCCTTGTTTCTTAATCAAAATATCTATTTACATTATAGACTGTTGTTTACCTTTCACACTTTAAAAATTTTGAAAAGTTACAAGTTTGGTAAATTTTTGTCTCAATCCCTGCCTATCACCTTGAGCTTCATTAGTTACTTTCTTAACATAAGCTCTTGACTTCAAATAAAAAAAAAAAAGGTTTACAATTTTCTTCACTAACAGTTTTGTGCAAGTCATCTAACTCAATGGCACTATCTATGGAGTGATAAATTCCAAATCTTGTGGTAAAATTCTTGATGACTTTATTAATCAGAAACTGATTGGATCTTCCACAACTTCTAGCACCTCTGAAGGCCTTCTCTGAAGATTCACAATTTTGAAAACTTCTTCTGATGGAAAGATCAGACCCCCTGAAGTAATTTTAATTACAAAAGCTCTATGATTGGATTTATCTATTTTAGAATATGGATGGTCATGGCCAGTAAAATCAAAACTGGAACCAGTTAGTAACATATAATAAACACTCTATGCATGTTAAATTTTTCATTATTTTCCTAACGATGAATCCTGAAATATAATATAGAACATTTCTTCGATAGTCAGTCAATGGCTTTGATTCTAAGCAGGAAAACATACTTTCTAATTCAGGCCCATCTTCTATTCAGAGTCTATTAATGACGTGGTTTCATGTCACGTTTCGGCGTAAAGAATTTTTTTGTTGAGATTAAGTTTGTGCCATCAAGATTAAAGTTGCTACTTTCTGTGGCAGATATTTCAGGGACTTTAAGGAGCTCTGAAATTGATGGGTGTTAGGATTGTTCTTCCAACCCCCTCTAGCTCTTGATACATGCAAAGAAGAATTCCAAGTGATCTTGGCTAAACTTGTATGTCAGAAAGAACTTCAAAGGGTTTCCTTCTCTTAATAACAACTCACTCTGCATACATGACATGAACCCTAATGCAAATATTCTTCTTTGGTGTGAGAGGATTGGGATGTCGTTCATACAAAGTGATTTCAAATTAAAAAAAAAAACATTTCTTCAAAAAAGGTGTTGCAGTATTCTAAATTCTAAATTGTTAGTGGCTGCTTGTAGCCTTTGCCCAGAGCATTTCTAGAATTTAGTATTTCAAATAGTTTGTACATCTTTTTGATAAACAAAACTGTAGCAAATGAATTTAGAAAATCTGGATGTCCTGATTTATCTAAAAACTCAATGGCATTGGCAACACTTAAACTGAGGATTTGTGCTGCCAGAGAATTTCATTTTTTTTGTAGAAGTGTATATGACGTTTTGATATTTCATTGCAAAACTTAAGGCCTTCCATTTCTTGTAGCTCTTGGAGTTTAACAATGTATGACCAAGAGATTTCACCATCAGAACTAGCAATTACTTTGCTCTCTGCCAGTGTGTTTCTTGCGAGTTTAAGCATGTGACGAGCGTCAAGCATGCAATAAACATTCAATGATTGGTCTGATGGATGTTTGAAGGAAGATGTAACTTCGGCTGAGTCTAAACAGCAGCCAAGACAATTTAGAGCACGTGTATTTGCCGATTTCATGCAGTTTTGTTAAACACACTTTCACCATTTCAGAAATTATCTCTGCTGATATACCACTGGTAAAAAAGTATGCTACTGGGCATTTGAACGGTCTTGTGTAAGACACAATCTGGAAGACAAGTGCTTCTTTTGCTTGGGTATTTGATTCTGAAGCAGAAATACCTCATAGATTTACGTATCCTAAATAGGTTTTGTTTTTAGGATCCCAGGTCAGTTGTTTCCTGATGGAAATTGATTCAAATATTAAGAAACATTCTTTCAAGTGAGAAAAGTTAGGATCTGCTTCTTTTTCTTTAAAAAATTGAAACAATTCACTTTGAAAAATTCCAAAAGATTCCGTTAAATCAAAGTGTACGGGGTGGAATTGTGCCCCCCTAGCCGTGACGTCAAAATGACGTCAATGAGGGCTTGTATGGGCAAAAGCCCCTAAAAAACCAAAATACATAATTTTTTTATCAACCTTCATTGGTCATTTATAAATAAGCACTGATTTCCTAGCATTATAATATAGTTTACAACACAAAATGTATACAATATATTATATACAGTAGATACATTTACATTTAAATGGTGGTTTGTAGGGACAATAGCCTCTAAAACAGTAAACTTTTATATTTTGAAAATAATAAGCATAAAAAACAATTAAAATTTGGTTTAATTCAAGTTTTATTTACATGAATAGAAATCACTACTTACTTATTGCATTTGATAATTAGTCAGAACCTCTGGATAAACTATGTTTTTTGTATATGAATTGTTTTCTGTATTGTTCTGTTCTCTTGTATTTGCCATATATACTCTGATTCCATCTGATGACTTGACTCTGCTAAATGCAAAATATCCGTGTGTAAAAACTGGTTTATCTAAGTAAACTCTAGCTTTCTGAAAGGTTTGGCCTTGTGCCTTATTGATAGTTATAGCAAAGGCAAGTCGTAAGGGAAATTGCAGTCTTGACATGTGGAAAGGCATGTTAGGATCTGTTGAAATAAGCTTTATTCTAGGCAAAAATATTATATTTCCCTTTCCAGATCCCGTAATAATTTCTAATTTTATGCATTTCTCAAACATGCTTAATACGATTAACCGCACGCCATTAACCAAACCTGACCCTAGGTTTATATTCCTGTATAACATTACTATGGCACCTACTTTTAATGTCAATTCGTGAGGTGGCATTCCTGAGGGAGTTATTGAGTGTAAATATTCAATAGGAATATTCAAACGTTCGGTTGGGTCGTCACTGATTATTTCGTCCACACTAAAGTAATCATTCGCTTCCCCCTCCATTGTTTGTAGAATTTCATTGTTGAGGGTTTGACACTGTTCATTCAATGGACACATTATTACATTATTAGGAGATGTCTTTCATGCAAGGTGAATTCTGATTTCGCGCTCCGCATGGCCCATGAATCATGTTCCGCACAACTTTGTCATGGAGACTTGGGAACTCATTGGGATTAGGCAACTCTGCATAAACACATCGGTCTATTTGGGCTGGTTCACGAAATTTCGATTCTTCGTCAAGGATTAAAAGTATGTGGCAGTGGGACAAGCCTCGTTTCTGAAATTCTATGACGTACACAAAAGCAATAACCTTTCCAAATACATTATTTTTTAGGAGGTCCTTTTTCAACTCAATTTACATTTAAATACTCTGGAAACGATATCTGGTCGATCGGCTGGTGCTTCATTGTCTTTCAGTGAAGATAGTATGCCAGTCCATTTAGGGTTGCATGTCATTGTTATAAATAAATCAGGCTTTCCGTATTTTTGAACGATAGCCATTGAATCTTGATAACGTTGAGTCATGTTACGCGGACTACCTTCAAATGTTGATGGCAACACAACAATCTTACCCGCAGTGACGCTTTCTAGTTGTGCTCTGTTCAAAACAAAATCTTGCAATCCGTGGTAGTGTTCAACTCTAAGCTGCGATTGGTGATGTCTAATATAATTTAGTCTGTTACTTTCAACTCTGGTGTATAGATCTACAATATATTGTTGAAATAGTTTTTTTAGCAGCATGGATATTTGAGAAGCCGGGCCGAACAGCAAGTCTATAGCTGGCGAACTGTAGTATGGTAAGCTTCTCACGCAGTCTTTGACGTCGTTGTCCATTGTGAATCATTTCTGCGTCCCACCCAGGTTCGCCGCTCGGAAATAACAAAGGATATAGCATTGGATCACAGTGTGGGCTCAATATTGATAAAAGCTTAGGCCCACTTTGGTGGTTGTAAATTACTACATGACGATTGTGTGGAGGTTCACCTTCTTCTGAATTAAACACTCCAGCAATTTCATCTGCGGAAGGTCTGTTGAATCGTCTAATATCCATCGAAATGTTGTCTACGAATCGAAGTTCAATGTTTTTAATGCTTTCATTAGTCATCATTTCATTAGCTTGTCTATAAGTCTGGGAATATGGGTTATTTGATAATATGTCAGACAATTGAGTTACTATTTCCAACTTGAGGGCACTATTTTCGGTTCTTTCTACGGCAAATGCCATAGCACTATTATACTGTCTTATGTTTTTAATAAAATGTCCATTCCTAAACAACTGTTGTAGTTCATTGTTATTTTCAGGATGTGGTAGATGTATGAGACCGTTATGGCAGCAAGAGTTGTAGTGACCATTTGTAGACTCTTCAACAAAGTGCAACGCACCACAATGCATACATTGATCATTCATCAGGCCCAGATTGTGTGTTGGTATCTCGTTTATAAGTGGTAATCTAAAAATAGGAGTATCTTCGACGTCATGATGTGGTTGTTCATTCCTTTCCTCATTATAAATTTCTCGCCTACGCTGTCGTCTGTCATGCTGATTTCGAAAGCCAACACCTCGGAGACGCGGCCTTCCTCCGTTGTTCATTACTATATTTAGGTAGAAAAGAAGAAATACGGTAAGATAACTATAGATCACCATAACTAAAAATTATACATTGCTGTAGTAAACAAACTGAAATTCATAAAAAGTACAGCTGGTATCTAATCAAAGGCTATGAGTACACAGATTTTCAGAAATACAACTAATACAAATCTGTGGCACAGCTGTTTTAATTTCAAAAGATGTAAACAAATTAAACCCCATGTTGTTTTAATGGGAAAAGTTTTATTCTGTTGCGAATTTATGGTTAAAAAAATAAGAAAAATGAATAGTTTTCCCTCAAAATTCACGCCAAGACCTTAAAAATAAGACCCCTCCCATCCTTCTACGGCCATCCAGTCACTCACAATTTCTTTACAAAAATTTGACTTACGGAATTATATACAGTGTGATTGAAAAGTCCCGGAACGGTTTAATATTTTTTTACTAATACAGATAAAGTAATGAGACTTGGTATATCGATAATAGCCATAAATGTCTACTTTTTTAAGCTATTAAAACTTTTTTATCCCTTACGGGGGACGGCCCACGAGGAGTCATACAAAATTCTTAAATAGCAGCATAGGTCGAGTTTGATATCAAATTAAAGATCTTTTTAGTAGAATACAATGCCGCAAACTGCACTTCAAAAAGTTGATCCTGCGCAAAATGGCAGATGTTCAAAGATTTCTTGAATCCGCCATTTTGAATCTTTGAACGACTGCCATTTTTTACTCAGGCATTCTTTTGAGCTCGAATTTACGGCATCGTAATCTAAAAGTGGAGACCTTTAATTTGATCTGCATATCGACCTATTCTTACGTTAACAATTTTCTTCCGATTCCTAGGGCTGTGCCCCCTGAAGAGAAAGCGTATAATGTTTGCTTTGTTGAAAGCCTTTTGTCTGACTCCTCGTGGGCCGTCCTCCGTAAGGGATAAAAAAGTTTTAATAGCTTAAAATGTAGACATTTATGGCTATTATTGATATACCAAGTCTCATTACTTTATCTGTATTAGTAAAAAAAATATTAAACCGTTCCGGGACTTTTCAATCACACTGTATACTGTATAGATTTCTATTAAAGCCTTATTTTTTATAGAGTTATGTAACGTAATGTATATTTTCGCTACTCTACAGTGAAATGACCTGTTTTCGTCACATGTTTACCACATACGAAGATTCATCTTTACATTATTTATTAAAGAAAAATGATGTTTACTATGCCAAATTAATGTTTACTATCTTTTTCGGCATTTACCGAGGTAAACAAACAAAGATTTGTTATTGTTTTGTCAACTGTTTAAATTTTTTAACAACCAAAACTGTACAATTAAAGTAAATATTTACTTTAAATCGAAGATATGATCTAAAAAACGCTATGAGTTTGTAATGATCCTTACTTAAATAAAGGAACATTCGATGTCTGTTATCATTCAGAATAGAATTAGTCTTTTTAGTAAAGCGAAGAGTAACTTTCAAAACACGAGTTAATGTGGGTCTATAGATATTTTCGATCATTTCAAGTTATCGATAAATCTCGCAATTTAAACATATGGTATCAAATATGTAATGACTCACTTTCTACTCTTGTTGTAAAATATACTATTTTACCAGGAAATAATTAGAGAGTAATAAGCTAGACCCAGCACTGTAACTATAGTATACGAATTTCTAACTAGAGTATAATGCTATTTTAGTCCTTATATGAAATCCTTTTAGCTTAAATGAAAGTAGAATACAGCTTTCATTAAATAAATATTGAGCGACCGAAGCAGGAGTTCATTACTATAACAAAAAAAACTCAACAGATACATAATTTGTGTAATGGAGAACAAAGATGAATCTCAAAGTTTTTAATAAACCAAAACCGATTTCAATTCGTTCGTCAACCAATATACGTGTTTTTACTTTTACCTTTACTTTTACTTTACCTTTTACTTTTACATCTTAATAACGACATACGTCAATCTAACTGATACTCAAACTTGAATCAATACGTTAAAAGACAGTATCCTCGAATAACCAGGATACTGATTATTATTTGGTTTGTACAAAAATCTAGCAAATTTAGTTATTCTATGTTAAAAATCTTTATTTTTCGTAGTGGCAACCATATTTATATTTGTACTTCCGTTACCCAAAGTAACTTATCATTTTAAGGATCATCTGGAATACCATTGATGATTGCTATCTTGTTGAAATTGTAAGTTAAATTATTATTATCCATTAGAGTCTTGCAAAGTTAACATTTTTTATATTGCTGTACGAAAATCCAAGAAAATAAAACCTTATTTGTTAATCTCAATTATATATATATTTTTTAAACAATAATACTGATAACCCAATAAACACACACATTGATGAATTGTGGTAATTGTTCATTAAAAGTAATATTTTT